AAGCCCGGAAAGTTCCCCACAATAGCGGGACCATTCCCCCGCTTACACTTGCATAGATCTCTCTTTCATCCAAATACCTTGACTATTAAATGGGTGGAGGATCAAAATCCAGACCCAAACCCAGCATTCATGATTGGTGCTTCTCTTCACAGGTCCAACTGGGCTAGTCCATAGCAGTTTGGTAAACCTTTTTCCTGGAAGCTGTTATTTTCTGTCTTAGAATCTGTTTTCACTTTTTATCTTAAATCATTAACCCTTCTGCTCACAAAAATAACCTTCTAAATGTGATGTGAGTGTAAACCAATTCCAGGAGGTTGGCTTGAATCTGCAGACAGCCTAAAATACTAGTTCTGAGAGAGATGTAAACTGCCCCTATTCATATCAAAGGATACTTAACTATGGAATCTAATGATGACAATCCAATGTCTATATTGATAATGATTTAAATTATCAAAACCATTTGAGAAAGGAGAGAGACAGTTATATTATGAAGAGCTACTGTGTGGAGTCTGGGCTTGACTTCCCAGAACTCCATTTTTGTTTTCTCTCTCTCTGATATTTTGGCCTAATTTTGAAGCATTTACAAAGGTATTTCAAGCAATCATATCTAGGAAAGAGGCAAACATCTCTACATGTGCCTGGTGAAAATGCAACAGGTTCCAGTAGCATTCCTTTGTGGACCACATGGGGCTGTGATTTCCCTTCTGGGAACACTGTCTCTTTGCTGTGACGCTTGCAGGAAAGGGATTAACTCAGGGGTTCTCAAACTGGGGGTCGGGACCCCTCAGGGGGTCATGAGATTATTACATGGGGGGTCGTGAGCTGTCAGCCTCCACCACAAACCCCACTTTGCATCCAGCATTTATAATGGTGTTAAATATATAAAAAAGTGTTTTTAATGTATAAGGGGGGGTCACACGCAGAGGCTTGCTATGTGAAAGGGGTCACCACTGCAAAGGTTTGAGAATCGCTGGATTAACTGTTGTACAGGGCTTCACGCAGAGCACCATGATATGTTTATAGACTGTGGAAGTCACTGATCATAATCATGTGGCTTGAGCTGAGTCAGCATGATATTTAATTAGTCTTAATTGGTACAAGGCATGAGGTGAACTGGAAGTGTTAATTTCATGATTTTTGGTACTTAAACCACTATTGAGTATACTAGTCTAAGTTGTCTACCAGTATCTGTCCATCCATCCATCCAGTTATCTGTTTTTCTATCAGATCTAATCTACTCTATTTCTGCATTTCTCTTTATCTAGGCATTTATACTACATTCATCACTCTGGCATCTCCAGATCAGACTGCCTCTTTTGGTGGCACATCAGCCCATGAATCCCACAGACTGCAGAGAAGGGGGTTAATGGAATTTGCAAGTCCATTATGACAACAGGCAGAAATACTTGGAGGAGATGAAGCAGCAAAGGGATTTAACTGACACCTCAGCAGGTATGTTAAAGCATTATGGCCAAATGCTCCTGAATGTATGTCCCACTCTCCTGCCATATTTCAAATGGGAGCATCATTTGAGAGCCCCTGGACGCCCCTTGCTGTGTATTTTTCCTTGTTATCTTCCCCTGGTCTCTGGAGTTCACGCTCTTTAGTTTTTTACATACTTTGTTTTCCTTGTAAATGGCTCTGATTTTAAATATATTCCTCTGCACTGGAGCCACAAGGAGGTCTGCTCTGCTCCGTTCACTGCGTGTGGGTACAGATGGCTTATCTTCACCATGTCACATCCCAGGATTTGTGGTGTCAATGTGTTGTCTCCACTGACGTGGGGAGGCTTTGCTGATCCCTGGGAACTGAGACAGAAGAAAAACAGTGAGAAGAGAGAGAGAGAGAGAAAATCCAGGTCCCCCCATCCTAGTGAAAACCTCCAACCTAAATAGATCCCAATCCTTCATGTTTCAGAAGAGTTGTAGATTTTTACAAACCCCTATAGCAGTATTCATTCATTCACTTGTAGGTGAAATGAAATCTGAAAATTATTTATAGATCACTCAAGCTTCACTTAAGCAAACTGACCAGGGATCCAGCCATGTTTGAGACATCATTTGTAATGTGCACAGAATTAAAAACCTGTCAGATCACCGTGAGAGGCTGTACATTGTACATTCCCCCAGCTGTGCAGGATCTTTGCACCCTGTCTTTGTAAGCCCTAAGGGTGTCTCTACAAGTTCTCTCATAAGATGCTCCCAGGAAGTCCATCTGAAGTGGCTCTGCTGGCCTTAGTACTTTGTATTACTGTGGCACTAAGGCACATTTCTCACAATGCCCCCTGCCATGGGCATTTGCAGTGCAGAGGGCTGACCCAGCACTGGCACTGCAGCTGGATGCAGTGGACTATGTGCTGACTCGGCACTGGATTTGTGGTTGGATGCAGTGGCTTGTGGTTTATGACGTTAGCAAAGCGTAGCAACAGAATGATTGATTATCCAAAGGTTACAGAATCTTTTGAATTTTCAGATCTTCCTTCTGTCTAACATGGAATAAGAAGGTCCATGTAACAGCTCAGATGTGATGTGAATATACTCAATAGTCTATATAACTCCCCCTAGCTGATGCACACAGAGCTTTCAGGATGTGAATTTGATTGCTTGTACGTACCTGATACTGACATGTGACTCCATGGCAGAGGTCAAGGGATCACTTTGTTCTTGCAGGCATCCATCCTATAGCAACATCTTACATTTTTAGATCCAGGTACACAAACTTGTGAACATACACATGGCTGTAAGCACAAACACGGCAGCATAAATAAACATTCTGACATAATCATAATCACACACCAATATGGACAATAACGTACATGCACACAATCACAACCCGTCACATTCCAGCAAACAGAAAAATATGCAGTTCCACACTAGCACACTTCAGGATTCTCGTGCTCTCTGACACTCACATTCATAGTCTCACATGTGTGCATGTACACACACACACACACTTGCATCAACAGAGACATACAAACGCACTTACAATTCCTGAGGATTTTCAATTACTCTAGAAGTCAAGCAGTTAAAACAAAGAGACCAATGATCCAGACTCTGGGACATAGAAATAAGCCCATGCAGAAGCCGGGGGAGGTGATGCCTGGTGAATTATGCATGACACAGGAAAGCCTTTATCTGTGTGGACAAAGGCCTATGCCAGGCGGCTAGGCTCTCTGCTGTACCTGTACTTTCCTTTCGCTCGCACTTTATCTCCACTCCCAGCTTGTAATTCAGCACAAATATCAGAGGAGGCTGGAAGATTAATTTTCTCCATTTGCATGGCAAAGGGGTGGGAGGGGGGAATCTCACTCACTCCAGACTCCCAGCTGCTTAATCCTCAGACAAGCACAGCAGAAGAAAAAGGCAAAAGGCAAAATTCTATCAGTGTTGGCAAGAGAAAAAAAACCAAAGGCAATTTCATGGTTTAGGAAGTGGTGTTTGGACCCTGGCACTAACCTGGCCTTAATGTGCTTTGCAGATGGCAGCCACCCAACACCTATATGAACACAAGAGGCACCCCCATGCGAGGCAGTTCACAGACTCATCCCTCCTGCCTTCCTTGTGATGCCTTCCTCGCACAGTAGTTCTTTGCCATGCCCATTTATGAGCTGGCCACACCCACTTTTCTAAGTGCCTGCGTGGAACTTTGATCCCCCTCTAGCGTCTGGTCCTCATAAGAGAATAAGTGTCTATTACAAGTGGCAGTGTAGAGAGTTGCTCTTTTAACTCAAGTGGTAGAGGCTCATGTTGTTAGTGCAGAAGGTCTCTAGGTACAGACCCTGCTGTTGACCCAACTAAGGTTGATTAAAAATGCACATGTGGAGAGCTGGTGCAATGTGCCACTCCTGTGGTTTGGTAGATAGATGCTTTCACTCCGGTGCAAGCTGCTCCCTTTTGAAAGTGATTGTGCCATTTTCACTTTCTTGGCCTTGCCCATGTCACAATTAGGGGAACAATCATGACCCTGGCTTGTCTTTTAGAAAGAGCTTTAACAAAATGTTCTATTAATACTGTAATAAAATGGTGTGTCTGGGGGTGTGTGTGCATGTCCATGTATGCACACTACTGCTTTCTAATGGATACAATCTGAATGTGTATCATAAGAATACCCACACTGGGTCAGACCTGTTGTTCATCCAGCCCCGTATCGTGTCTCTGACAGATGCCAATGCCAGGTGCTTCAGAGGGAACAAACAGAATAGAGCAATTATCAAGTGATTCATCGCATCATCAAGTCCCAGCATCTGGCAGTGAGAGGCTTAGGGAACCCAGAGTATGGGGTTGCATCCCTGACCATCTTGGCTAATAGTCATTGATGGACCTATCCTCCATGAACTGATCTAGTGCTTTTTTTTAATCCAGTTATAGTTTTGGCCTTTACAGCATCCCCTGGCAATGAGTTCCACAGGTTGACTGCGTGCTGTGTGAAGAGTTACTTCCTTTTGTTTGTTTTAAACCTGTTGCCTATTAATGTCATTGGGTGACATCCTGGTTCTTTTTCATGATTTTATAGACCTCTATCATATCCTCCCTAAATTGTCTTTTTTTTCCAACTGAACAGTCCTAATCATTTAAATCTCTTCTCATATGGAAGCTATTGCATGCCCTTAATCATTTCTGTTGCCCTACTCTGTACCTTGGGCATACCATGGATTTATATAGTGGCATTATGATATTTACTGTCTTATTATCTATCCCTTTCCTAATGGTTGCTAACATTGTTAGCTTTTTTGACTGCTGCTGCACATTGAACAGACGTTTTCAGAGGACTGTCCACAATGACTCCAAGGTCTCTTTTTTGAGTGGTAACAGCTAATTTAGACCCTCTCATTTTGTATGTATAGTTGAAATTTCGTTTTCCAATGTGCATTACTTTGCATAGGCCCTATAATGCCAATAGCTAATAGAGATTCTCCATTAGCTCAAGTGATAGGGATACCGAGCTGTAGGATGGGAGTTCTATCCCCTTTGCTGCAGTGAAGTTCCTAGTGCTATGGTGTGCAGCGTGGTGACACTCTGAAGTCTGAGGTGACCACAGATATGTTACAACAAAATCTATATTTTTAGGAGGTTTTTAAATTGGTTTAAACCTTCCCCTGCCATGTTTGTGACCCAAACATTGCAGTGTTATGCCAATGCATGACAGCTAGAAAATGTAATTGATTACAAACAGATTAATCAGTTTCACATTTGTTTGCAATGTCCAGTATAAATGAGGTACCACAACATTAAATATTGTCAAGTTGAAAATGATGATGCTCTCCCCCCCACCTCCTGATAAAGTGCAACGGGATTAATAATGGACAAGGGCCAGGGATTATTAGTATTATAGGAGGACCTAGAAACCTCAACCAAGATTGACCTGCATTGTGTTTGTACAACACACAACACATTAAGAGAGAGTCCCTGCACTGAAGAGTTTACACTCTAAAGGAAGGATTTTTACAGATGGAGACATGACTTGCCCATGGTCTCATGGGAGGCCTATAGTAGAGCTAGCAATTTAACCTGAATTTCCTGAGTCCTGGATCACTGCCTTAACCACAAGACCATCCTTCTTCTCCTAGAGATCAGTGCAATTTATTAGAATTGATTAAGGCTATGTCTACACTAGCACTTCTGTCAGTAAAACTTTTGTTGGTCATCATCATCATGTTCCTATTACGCCTCTGGTGTTTAGGGCAGTGACGAAGCTCCTCCACTCCTGTCTGTTTCTAGCAAGTCTTTCAATGGCTCCCCAGCTGTGCCCCAGGTTTTTCAGCTCTTCGTCATGTTTTTGGGCGGCCTCATTATTGCTTGCCTTCAGGTGTCCATCTTATTGCTACTCTGGTGATGGAATCAGTTTCCATCCAAAGCACATGACCAATCCATGTCCAGCGCCTCCTGGCAATGATGGTGCTCAGATCCTCTTGGCTGCACCGTGTCAATAGATCTTGGTTTGAGATTGTTCTGGGCCAAAAGATACGGAGGATTTTTCTGAGGCAGGCTGTATGGAATGAAGACAGTTTGAACATGTCATAATTTCTCATTCCCCAGCATTCTGCACTATAAAGTAGTGTTGAAAGTATGCAGATCTGACAACACCAAAACCAAACTCAAGATTTATATTTGATGATTTCCAGACTGTATTTAAGCTCCTGAAGATGTTCCTGGCCTTATTGATTTTGTTCCGGATGTCCTGGCTTGTTCCATTGTCCTGGCTGATGGTGCTGCCCAAGTATGTGAATGTTTCTTCATTGGTGAGAACATAATCCTCTATCTGTACTGGTGATGGTGAGGCAATATTAAAGGTCATGATATCTGTCTTATTGCGGTTGATTTTCAGTCCAATTTGCAGCTGAACGCGTTGAGTCGAGTTGTTTTTTCTTGTATATGGTGTTGGGTATGTGATAGGAGAGCGACATCATCTGCGAAGTCCAGGTCTTCAAGGGATGAGAAGAGTGTCCATTTAATACCTCTTGGCATGTCTTCTGTTGTATGCTGCATTACCCAGTCGATGGCAATGTTGAAGAGGATAGCAGACATGACACACTCCTCACAAAGTCCTGTTTTAACTTCAAAACAGCTCACTGTGATCAACATTGCAAGTAAAGTTGAAATAGAAGCTTTTGATGATGCTGATTATATGAAAAGGAATTCCATATGCCTGCAGAATGCACCATAAGCTGGTCTTACACAATACTTTGCTTGGCACAAATAAAAGTGTGATACCACGCCAGTTATTACAATCACTGAGAGTTCTTTTCTTTGATATCTTCACTATAACCCCGTTGGTCCACTCATCTGACACTTTTTCCCTTTCCCAGACTAATGTAAATAGAGGGGTCATGATAGATTCTGCTAATTTAGGATTTACCTTGAACAATTCTGCATTCAAGTTATCCTTGCCAGGAGCTTTCCCATTTTTTAAGGATTTGATAGCTTGAATGATCTCTTCCTTAGTTGCGGTGTCTGTATTGATATCAAGATCTTCTTCTTCCTCTTGGATGTTTGCTTCCTCTTTAGGTGGCTCCTTGTTCAGCAATTCTTTGAAATGCTCTGTCCAGCACATTTCTTGTTCTTTTTCGGTTGTTAGTAGGTGTCCTTGTTTGTTCCAGATGAGAGTGTTTGTTGGTGTCTGCCGTTTACCACTGATAAGACATGTCATTTTGTAGACGGTTCCTTGTTCACTATGAGCAGCTGCATCCTCTTCTTGTGTTGCCAGATTATCAATATAATTCCGTTTGTCTGCTCTCACAAGGCGTTTGACCTCCCAGTGTGCCTTGCTCTACTGCTCGTGGTATTTGTCCTTTAGCTTCTGGGATTTTGTGTCTAAAACTTTTTTCTTCAGGGCTCATCTGGTTTCTATGGCGTTCCATGTGCTGGGTGTAATCCACTCCTTCCTTCTCTTCTGCCTGTAGCCTAGACAGGCTTCACTGCTCTGTTTATAAATTGTTGTTACTTTGTCCCACTTCTTGTTATATTTGTTGATCAGGTGTGTGAAAAAAACGACACCCCTGTTTCACTGACAAAAATGCCGGTGTGTACAGCGCTGTCGGTGGGAGACGCTCTCCTGCCAACATAGCTACCGCTGCTCGTTGGGGATGGTTTAATTATGCCAGCGGAAGAGCTCTCTCCTGAGAGTGCCCCACCCCTATAGACTCTGGCCGCTCAGGCCACGCTGCCCTGCACCTAAGGGCTGCTCTATAGACTCTGGCCGCTAGGCTGTGCTACCCTGAC